GAGATGAAGTGGTAGAGGGTGGTTATTAGATTGTTTATCAAAATATATCGAAGATGTGTGTAGAATTTAAAATCCAGATTAAAAAACGAGATACAACTCGATTAAAAAAATAAAAAAATCTCAACCTCACCCATTAGATGTAGCCTCATTCAAAATCATGAGGCTGAATATGATTATATATGAATACATAGTCTTAGTCTACCCTAATCCTAATTATGGTGCCGCGATAAAAAGTGTAGCACCAGTAACGCTGAATATGATTGGGCCATGTGGAGATGAAGTGGCGCGGGCTAACTTATGTAATTTCAGCTCAAACCCATTGCTCGAGAATTTATCCCCAAATCAATTTTAACCGAAGTGACGGAGATGCATTGATTCTGTCTTCCCACTTCCCATTCATTTAGCCTCTTTTGATATTCCAATCATTTAAGTTTTAATTTTTAACTGCATTTGTTTTTCTCGTTGAGTAGAGAGAAACAGGGAACAAAATGGAAAAGCAGAGATCGTCTTCCTCAATCTGGTGCTCCGTTTCCTGTGAATAGAAAAAAAATTTCCAGCGACCTTCATCGCCGCCGATTCAATCTCGTGTTTGTACCTTCTGCCTGCACTAAAATGTACCGTCCTCCTCCTAAATTCATTATGGAAAACAAAACGTCGAATCCCTAGTTACGAGCACCATTCTGTCTTGGTCGAGCCGCTCTTTCCCTGCCGTACAAGACTATTCGAAGCCAAAGGTAGGATGTAACACCCTACCCTATACGTATTACCTAATCATATTGTTCATACAATTACAGCAGAATTTATCTCGGGTGTTACACTAATTATCAAAATTTACTCAAATAAAATTTCGACATGAATTACTCGCATAATGGGCTAACAGTTCTTGCAACTTATCCTACAAAATAATTCATCACAAACATATATACTCACAACCATATGCATTGGCTTTTCATAGCCATAGTCACAGTTTCATACTACACAACTGCATACTATACTGATACATGCCATAATCATCACAACTTACATAATTACATAAATATACACATATCATCAACTTTCCACACCTGTGGATATCTCACACTACATCAGAAGCTAGTATGCACATGAAAAACGTTCTCAAAACATTTTTACAAAAAGGTGTGGATCACTGGCCAAAATCCCGAGTAGTAGTCCAAGCACAGAATAGTTGAAGACCATACCTCATCTTGCCTTCAACTCTTGCTCAGCTCCCACCTATACACCTATCTACTGCTGATGATGATGATCTGCTTACATATGGCATAAGCAGAGAAAAAGAATAAAAGAGGGTCAGCTCATAGCTGAGTGAGATAATCATAGCATTGTGAGTTCATAACAGAGCATACCCCTATCATACATCTAACAAACAAGCCAAAGCACTAGGATCATACCTCAGCCATCCGACATCCCAATAGGCAAAAGACTCAACCATCTTGACTTATGCATATGCATCTTATCATGTTTTACTTATAGGCGCCTGGCTACTCCCATGCTAATAACTCTCCCGGGAAACATACCCCAACATCACGTCGGATGTGGTCATACATACCCCACACCACTATGGGTGTAGTCATACCCCGACACCGCTCTGGGTGTGGTCATATCTCGTAAGAATTCTTCAGTCACCACCACATGAGAGGTGTGACTATCATACATGTCATAATAGAGTAATAGCATAGGGAGCCCTAATTACTATGTAGTTGACCGTGAGACCACAACACTCATATTTGGTATCCTTATACATGATTCATAACTCATCTTGCTTAGTCATAATTCATTACTTGCACATGTACTTGACCTGGCCATAATTGGCTCAACATAGGTAAATCAGGAGTCGTATAATTGCACTTCCTCGGGATAAACCCTCGTGCAAATCATCCTCCTTAAACATCATAATATCATCCTGAGAAGTTTATTCCCTCACTTATCGATCCAAATACAACCATAATATCACATCATGTCAAAACACCTAATCGAACAACCATGAAGTCATATCAACAGTTAAGCCACAAATCGCAACATGTATGCAATCATCAGCATAAACAAGGTCCATATCAATTAGGGCAAGTCAATAATATCATACAGTAGTCCATGATTCATCATATAGCACAAAAGTTCATGCACCCCTTATCATGCCATTCTAATTCACCTAGGTCAATTCTAAGCATCAATTTAATTATCGTGATACGACAAACCCTGTATGCCGTGCTAATCCCTCACCAGTTCTGGTCGTTCAAACACCGGTTCTAGCCTCCCGTACTAAAACGTCAATTTCACGAACGAACCCCGAATTAAAATCCGAGACCGTCCTAATATCCCTGCAGTATCCCCGTGAATATTAGTTCTAGGCTCCGGGTCAAATTCTCGATAAAAAAACATCAAACCTTGGCCGGAGCTAAATTCAGCGATTTGGACCCCGACCTAAATAATTGCCGAAATTCAGCGATTAGAACTAGAGGATTGATTACCTCGCTGCAGGAAGCTCGTATATGAAATTTGGGCTCAATCCGGCTTCCGGATACTCCGAAACCCTAATTTGGCTTATTGGGATTTCAAGAAATTCATGAACCAAAAACTCGCTTTAAAGCTCTAAATCGTAAATCACGATGAATAGATGAATTAGGCATTACTTACAAGATTTTTGGATCACTAGGGCTCAAGATTGGAGCTTTTGAAATTTTTGGCCGAGCGCTCCGTGAGTGCTCTGTTTCTCTCGTTTTCTCTCGGTTGAGAATTGGAAACGATGATGAGAATAAATGGAGAGGCAGGGGAATTAAATGGACCGAGTAATATATATATATATATAATTAATACGTATACTTATCTGATCGATTGATAATCCGATTTCCGCAGAAATACTATCAAAACGCTCGATTTTAAATCGTGAATTTTCTAGCGATCGAAATATGGATTTAGCCGAAACGGGATGTTACATAGGATCACCCTCCATTTGCGTCATCCCACTTGGTCTGTGCACCTGCCTTCACTGTAGGAATCATCGAAACTGAGTCCCACTATGAAGAAATTCTGGAAGCAGAGGTTAGTCCTGGCCGATAGATGAGCGGGTGAGCGAAGTTTTTATACAAAATAGAGAGGACTGACTCTGAATGGGTTGGGTACGGCGCAATCGACAAATAAGGTTGACCCTAGAGATGGTAGCAAGCACGAATAAGTGACAGTAGTGATTTTGGAGCCACCACGGTGAAGGAGGGAGTCTCTCACGTGCTTTGACTTTGGACCCGTATGGTATTTGGCTGTGGCGCGTTTCGATGGTGAAAGAGGCTCGCGAAGATACAGATTTCTTCGCCTCTAAACAAGTAACCGGGATGATTTTGGAGATGTGATCGGCCGTGAAAGTCACCGGAGCGATTTTGGGGAGAACGTCGGAGAAGGAGATCGAGGAATTGCCTATTGTTTCGTCCGTCGTCATCCCCTGTTTTTTATGTTTTCTGAATCTTCAGGAATATAAATTAATTGCATTTTTTAATTAATAAAACGATAAAGACAGTTTGGCAACAAAAAAAATGGAACCTTTGGGTTGGACGGAGAAGGATTTTCCGTTAGTGTGGGGGAGCGGGTTGGTTATTATCCAGCAGTTTTGGGCTTTGGTATTGAGTTAAATCAATCCAGTCACAATCTCATCAGCTCTACGTGGACCAATTATATTTAGCGTTACCGGTACCGCACTTTTTATAACGGCACCGTAGTACTGTCCCTCTTATAAACCTTGAAGACCACAAAAACAATGAAATGAAGTATTCAAATTGAAGGGAGCATCAATGGATATAATGTTGATTGATGTATATTTTGATTGGGTAGTTGAAATATTGAGTTAAAAATATTTTTTAGGTAAGATTTTTAATATTTTAATATATAATGAATTATTAATAAGATAATTCTAAGAAAATACAAAATAAATAGAAATATATTACGCTAATTTCTATCATTCAAGAAAATTAATAATTTTATTAATGATATTATGCATGTTTAATCATTTTTATGACGATGAAGTACATTAAAAATAAATATGAAAACCCCTACAAAGGGCCAGTAAGTATGAGGCTGATATATACCATAATATTAGAATGTTTATATACCTTTTGATTCAACAGTTTTAAGAAAAGAACAAAATCCTTTAACTGAAACAATCTCACTACGGTGAATATGACTCATTGCATCAATCAGTAAAATGGACAATTCAAAATTAATTGCAAACATATCAACATCAAACAATCCCGCAAAAAAGAAGAAAAAAAAAAAATCGCGACAAATTGGATTCAAAAAGATCAATATAAGCAAATAACATGCTTAAAACACATCAAGAAGAACAAGGAAACTCATATTCAAGGTCAAATACCCAACTGCCAGCAAAATAATCAGTCTATTCTCAAATCAACGATTAACGTTGACTTATTGAGAATTACATAACCCATAATTATACACCGAACTCTATACCCGGATACCCATACTAGACTTGCCAACTTGTACCGAGTTTGTTTGGCAAATTAAATATCATCCACGCATACCGACTTTCCAAACTGTAGCAATTTATTGCCAAACATCTATGGTGAATATACTCTCAAACGACTAAAGGATTCACAGGTTCTTCGCTACAAACACCAACAGCATCGATGAGGAAACATTTATCCTCTTCTGGTCAGGTTGTCTTTGAACTCCTTTTTTTTTTTTTTTTGGTAAAGATTAAGCCAATAAAGCAGACTACTTGATGGTCGGTCGTCCATCCACCACATAATAAAAAGATAATATGATGCAAATTGAAGGTCAAAGGATCGCCCAATCATTCTGTTTTCATACACCAGCTTGCTTCAGAATCAATCTTTCCCCTAAAAATACAGAGAATAAATAAATGATTTCCATTGCACCCATGGCGTCACTCTTATTTCCGTGAACGATCGACGTCGAGACACCAGCTGCCTGTCAACGTATTTTTTTTTTGGTAAAAGCCTGTCAACGTATTTTAACAACTCCTCACTAATTTTTATTACTAACTAAATTAGTAATGCGTACAAAACCTAAATTGTGCAGTAGTCTTCATCTACGAGACGTGCCATAACGAAATCCATGCGCTATATAAACCATCGCTATTTCATCCATTTCTGCCACCCAACCAGCACTTTCTTCTCTATCATTCCCTTCCCTTCATCTACTCATAATTCCAATCCTAATTTCCCTGAAATGGGAAGTCGTCGGAGTTTTCTCCGGTCATGGTCTTCACCACTTTTCCTGTTCGTCGTAGTTGTTGCACTGGCAGCTTCATCCGCCGACGGGTCTAGGGCGCCGCGGGTGCCTTGCTACTTCATATTTGGGGATTCTCTTTACGACAGTGGCAACAACAACAACCTCAACACGTCGGCGAAGGTCAACTACTCTCCTTACGGCATCGATTTGCCGGCAGGACCCACCGGCAGGTTCTCCAATGGACAAACCACGGCCGATGCAATTGGTGCTTAACGTGATTTCATTTTGTTATGTTGAACCACTTCTCTTCCCTATCATGACGCATCATTAGTTAATCAATTGACCTTTTAATTTCTTTTGGGTATGCAGGTGAAATACTGGGATTTAAGGATTTCATCCCACCTTTTGCATCTAACCCTGACGACAGACAGATACTCGTAGGGGTCAACTATGCTTCTGGGTCGGCCGGAATTCTTGTCGAGAGTGGAAAACAAGGGGTACGTAATTATCTTTGGTTAATTCTACTCCTTCTTGTTGTTCTAATTAATACTTACTCTTAATCAAGAAAATTATTTGTAACTCTTTATTAAGACTATTAAAATTGTAAAAAAAATGCATGCAACCCCCACTTACAGATTTACCCTAAAATAACCCAATTGCAAATAGAATTGGAATAATGAGCAGGACGCGTCCATGTATATATTAACCGTACAATCATGTATTCTAGATTAATACTATCTCCATAAATTTGTTTTCAGAAGATGACGATTGTCTTAAAAAAAAAAAAAAAAAGATGACGATTGTATATAAGTTTCAGTGCACCTTTGAAATTAAATTAATTTTGTAGGGTGACAACGTGGACCTGAGCCAACAATTGAGGAACCACGAATTGACTGTTTCGCGCATAGTTGAGATATTGGGGAGCAAAGTGGCCGCCTTTGAGTACCTAGGGCAATGCTTGTACATTTGCGATTCGGGAAACAACGATTATATCAATAACTATATTCTGCCCCAATCTACGGCCATCAGGAATCAGTACAACCCGGACCAATTCGCCGCGCTTCTCATCACGCAGTACTCCGCTCAGATTATCGTAAGTATACTTTTAATCAGTCCATTAATTTATATATGGTAGTGGGCTTGTGGCTGGCATGCAGTGGCGCGGAGGGAGAGGGTAACAGAGTGGGTCCCGGGATCCACTCTGGTTCGGGGGAAATGGTTAAATTAGGTATGATAGTTAATTGATATGGAAAACTAGCTCGCGTTTAATTGAGAATAGTTGGTCGAAAAGTTTTGTGTTTGAATCTTGGCGACCTCATTTCTTAAGCATACAGTATACAAATTTGTGCAAACAGCAACTTCGTATAAGTTGACTTTCTTATAAGAGAGCATGGTAGTAAATGGCATAGTATATTATTGAAATCTTCCAACAACTCGATTTATTGATCCTAAATATTTTTTTAGGAACGTCATTCGAAAGCGAACGACTAGATAAATCATGAATTATTGTTTGGCATAAGATTTATTATTAAACCTCTATCAACAACTCGAGGTATTAATACTAACGGTTCTTAACAAAGAACACCATTTGAAACACTAAGACTAACTAAATCAATGATTGTTTGGTATATATGCATAGTGATATTCTTAATATCTTCGAATGCTAATGCATTTTAATTTATCAAAAAATTTCAAAGTACGATTATATTAAAAAACTATTTTATCATATTTATTTTTTTCGAGGTGGACCCACCTTAAACGAAATCATGGCTACTCCACTGCTGGCATGTACTCTAGATTATATCGTACTCTTAGGACTAGTAGTTTGAAAATTTTGGTTCTAAATCTCTAGATTGTAAACAATCCAAAAATTCTAGCTCTTAATGTTCCGGTCGTTAGATGTACTTTAATTACGACGAATCCGAATGTTAATTATTATTTTATTTAATTGATCGCTTCGAGTTTAAGTTTAGAAAATCAAGTTGATCCAGGGTTTATTCATTTGAGGTTAAAATATAATCTCATCCCTCAAACTTTGTTTGATTCATGGTATAAATAGAGATTCCTTACTGACAATGCCTAGAGTATTGTGTATATTACAAAAATATACTAGTTTGGCCCATATATGAAAATGACGGTAGAAAGCAGTTTAATAATTTATCAACCCAACAGTGTAGTTGAAACTCGATAGTTAAATTAGTATAATATTATTCACATTAGGGATGACAATTTTGTTCATATTTATGAGCTTTTTACTATCCAACCCAATTGGATTGGGTATAAAATCCAAATAGATGAATAGGGGTAGAATTTGATGGGTTTGTACCCATACCCATTTACTTTGGGTTGGGTTGGGTTTATAACAAATGGATTTGGGTTTGTACCCATGCCCAAATACAAATTACAGTTTGGTACCTAAACTTAATAGATATGCATATTTAGTACATAAATTTAATTTTTTTTGCATATAAGTCCTCAAAATATCGATGGAAAATTACGTTTTGGTACCTAAATTTTTAGGGTCTTACATTTTGGTACCTAAATTTTTCAAGTTTTACAAATAGGTCCAATTTTTTCATGTGTAGTTAAAACACCCTCAAGTAAATGGATATCCATATCCAACCCATACCCATTTAGATTATGGAAGCAATATTCATACCTTACCCAAACCCCTATACAAACCCCCCAAACCCATATGCACTTAACCCATATCCAACCCTTTATGGCTTTATCAATGGGTCTACTTAGGTTTGGGTATAATTACCCATGGGTGGGTAATTGTCATCCCAAATTCACATTGATGCAACTTGCAAGCCTGCACAAAATTATTCTTGGGTTCATTTCCAAGAGACCTCTTACTATAGAGTTTGGTGAATAATAATATACAAGAAACATTTTTTTATTACGATGTGTTACTTGGATTGTTTCATAAAGTACATTATGATATGATAATGATAAAAAGTATGGTTTTTGCAACTTATCTTGCATTGATTATAATCTCAATTGTTGATCGCGTGTTCAGCGGTTGTACGAGTTGGGAGCAAGGAAGGTGGCGCTGGCCGGAATTTCGAACATCGGATGCACTCCAAGTTTGATAGCAACCTTGGGGACTAATGGCGCCCCCTGTGTTAACTCAGTAAACCAACTAGTGGTTCCATTCAACACCCGACTAAAATCGCTTATCAGCCAGCTCAAGTTGAGTTATCCCGACGCCAAATTTGCATACCTCGATAGCGTACGGGTCGGCACTCTTGTTGGCGCAGGTATTAGATTGATACGCTCATAAGTCGTTTGGCAATTCAATTTTCTTCGTCTCAATAATAATGCGTTGCGATGTTTTCTTCTTTGTTTTTCGTTTCGCAGCATTTAGGATAAGAGCGACGTCGTGTTGTCAAGTGAGTACAGTAACGGGGCTGTGCCTTCCGAATACGGTTCCTTGCTCTCAGAGGCCATCATACTTGTTCTGGGACGCATTCCATCCCACTGAACTCGCGAACCAGCTCGCTGCGCCCCTTTTCTTTCCGGCCATCCAACGGATATTGTAAAATGTGTGTTTAAATTAGCAATAATTAAGTGGACGGCTGGGTCCAAATCCACCGGGCATTGTATTTTCTAAACAACTTCTGTATCTTTTGTTTTTTCCCCCTTGTAGCTCAAGAAAATAATGTTGTACCACATGTCTTGAAAGAATTAATCAAAATGCCTATAGATTGTAAATGTGCTAATTGCTATCGTGGTTTTTGCGTACCCGATCAGATGATCGAACCTAGTTTAATCGCTTCACTAACAAGGCTAAACTAGTCATTAAAAATTTCTGTAAAATAAATTTTGGAACAACTCACCGAAGTATTTATTAATGGGCCCAAAACTAGAATATCAATTTCGACGCTGCTGTTTGTGGCACCGGGTGTTCGTCTGGACTTGTTGTCTTTGGATCAGACGGACATGTGGTGTTGGCGTTCGGGTTACAGCATCAAGGAATAGTCAATACTTCCCTGGCAGAGCTCCTAGCCATTAGGGTGGGTCCATTTAGATAAATTATACAAGTTAATTTTTTTTGTTATATTGTTAAATGATTCATGATATAATCTTATATTTGAATTTGTTTAGTAGCCGAAATTATCAATATTATGTGTACCAAACAATCATTCATAATTTAATTAGTAGTTCGCTCTCAAATAGTGTTTTTTGTTAAGAATCGTTTAGTATCATAACTCGAGTTGTTGAGAGAAATTTAATATCAAATCTTTACTAAGTACAAATAAAATTGTGTATAGTTATAGAAATTTTTACTCTATAGCTTAATCGTTAGGATATGTGTTTGTCCAGAGAGACGAGCTGCATTTTAGCTCTAGCTTTAAGTTTTGTCTTTTTTGAAATTTTGATTTTGGGTAAATACAATTTATTAGCTAAACCTAACAATTTTGTTGTTAGGGTTGAGAAATGACCGAAAATAATCCAGGATTACAGATTGTTGTCACGAGTCACATTTGCACTGGCTGTGTTTAAACACTAAAAAGTGATTTAACGGCTAACCTCTATCATAAGCAAACTAGGCAAGGGCACCTTGACACTCAGTTCCTCCAACAAATTCTTCAACCATTGAATCTCACACACAGTCTTTGCCAAAGCCCTGTACTCAGCTTCTGATGATGATCCAGAAACAGTGGTTTGTTTCTTAGTCTTCCAGGCCAGCAATGATTTCCCCAAGAAAGTGCAATAACCAGTGGTGGATCTTATAGTGTCAGGACAGTCAGCCCAATCGGAGTCACAGAAAGCAGTCAGCTTTAATTTTGCATCACTATCAAAATGAATAACTTGACCAGGTCCACTCTTCAAGTATCTTAGAACCCTGTGAGCTTCTTGAAGGTGTTCTTCATGTGGTTTCTTCTAGAATTGGCAAAGTTGTTGCACATCAAATGCCAAAACCGATATTGTTATAGTAATGTAGTGTAGTATTCCTACTAGTCTCGTGTATTGTTCTGCATCTGTCAGAGGGGTTCCTTGTGTTGTTGATAATCTTACCTTGTAGTCTACTGGTGTTTGACAACCCTTAGATTCCAGGTAACCTGTTTCATTCAACAACTCTAGGCAGTATTTCCTTTAACAAACACTTATACCACTTGCAGTCCTATTGATCTCCAGACCAAGGAAGTACTTCAAAGGGCAAAGTAAGTTTCATTTTGAACTCCTGGATCAGAGCCTTTTTGACTTGCTCTATATCATTCAAAGTATCCCCTCCTATTATGATATCATCAACATAGATGAGCATCACTACAATTCTACCTCTAACCCACTTTGTAAACAAGAAATAGTCTGATGCAAATTGTCTAAAACCATAAACCATTCTTCAGCAGGAAAGTACTTAACCTGGAAAGCCATTGTCTAGAGGCTTGCTTCAGGCCATACAAAGATTTCTTCAACATACAAACCATTTTGTGTGATCCAGACTGTTCTAAATCCAAACCTGGTGGCAACTGCATATATAGGTGTCAATCGGGCGGGTTCAGGTCGGGTTCAGTCGGGTAGCGGGTTAATCGGGTTGTGGGTCAAGCGGGTTGCGGGTTGATTGGGTTGTGGGAAAATCGGGTTCGGGTTGATCAGGTTGCGGATCAATCGGGTTACGGGTTGATCGGGTTGCGGATCAATCGGGTTCGAATTGATCGGATCGCGGGTTATAACAGGTCGGGTTGCGGGTTGTTCGGTCCAAACCATCGAGTTTTTTTTATAATTAGTTATTACACTAATTTAAAATAAACTCACCGATCGCCATATTGCAATAAAAAAACATGAAGGTACATTATTAAACAAATGAGTGACTAGATTTTGCTTAAATATATCATGAACAAGTTTGATGTTGCTAGTTGTTGGTGCCTTGCAAAGGATTCATTAAGGTTACATAACCAACATAAATAAATAGTTGAGCAACAAGAAATTAAAAAGCCGACAACTTGCTTGATCATAAACCCACTAATTGGCATATCCCCAACCCGAGATTATCAAGCATCATGAAAGTTAGATGCTACTGAGTTTAATCTCACAAAGAGAACTTCAATTCGTGTGATTGCTCAAAACCCCCCACTGAATCCAACGATTCAGATCATCCACGTCATCAATCCTGCTCCACCTCTGTCAACTAATATCTAATTCGCATTGATTAAAGGCGTCCAAAATTTCGAAAAGCCCGCTTAACAACAAATAAATCCTGCCCGTCCATCCATGAACCCCTCCATCCAACGGGCTGTGCTATCCACATCATCAATCCGCACCAATTGGGAACCACCAATCAGATCTCACCTCTCACCTACTATAAATTAGAAACCCAACATTCACAATTCCCAACCATCACGTCTATCTCTCACAACTTTCTTTCCCTCGGCAAAAAAGCTCAAAACTAGTTCTTCCTTTTGAGCAAATATTTGGGGGCTTTGAATTTTGCGTTCAAAAATTTTCCCTCAACACCTAGTCTATGGATGATAAATATTATATGGATTAACTAGTTTGTTGTTTGATCCGTTGGTCGGAACTCGGAATGCCATTTGAATATGATATAATTAAGATGTACATTCACAAGTTAAACTAATCATTAAAATCAAATTAATTACTATAAAATCAAAATATCTATCGTAAAAGCATAACCATGAAGAAACCCTAACCCTAAACCCTAAACGCTAACCCTATAACACCATTGTAAATCTAAAACCTAAAACTAACCTTAACCACCAATCTTCATTTAGCTGTTTTCAATGTGACTACTTGTAAATCACGGTTAATTACCATGATTAATGTGATCATTTACCTTTAAAAAATATCATGCAAATGTACTCGGCCTCCTTAAGAAATGCTAATCTGTATAGATTAAAATTTGTTAATCTATAAATTATAGTTTATAAATATTAAAAGTTAACCTTCAACATTCCCTCCCAAAAAATCCCCCAAGATTTTGCTGCTCCAAAATTCCCTCTCAAACATTTTGCCTCCCGCCATATTATAAAGGGCTCCAAAATTTCAGGCTCTAAAATTTTCAATTGGCTCCAAAAAGAATTCACCAGCGAAAAACCCCCGCCTCCTTTTCACAATTTTACATGTGCGAGATACTAAAACCGGGTGCACCCTTACTCTGCCTAAAAGGAGAACGAAACTCGACTCACTCTCTCATGTCTTAAAAGGAAAGAGCCAAACCCTTGTTAGCCTAAATCGGTGCCCAATTCTCCGCCATAGCCCTTGATTAAAGAACCCTTTTCTTGTAGTGAGTGTCTCAATGATTTATTATTTATAAATACATGTTGTAATTTGTACGTTGTAACCAAATGTAAAATCATGTTTTCATGTGTATGTGTTATATATATATATCATTTATATACATCAACCAAATATAAAATGTTGATAATCCTCCTAGAATTTCTACTTATCTAATGAGATAGTGAGACTATTATGTGATTCAATTTAATGGCAGTTGTCAACACAAAGTAAACCTTTATTCTTGATGGGAAAGATGAAAAATAATAAGGCAAGTCACGTAAACTTTATATATATTATCTACATATAATATCTATGCACCAAAATATATTATGTAGTATGATTCGTGTCAATCGGGCGGGTTCGGGTTGGGTTAAACGGGTTCGGGTTAGTCGGGTTACGGGTCAAGCGGGTTGCGGGACAAGCGGGCTGGAGATCAAGCGGGTTGAGGGTCAATCGGGTTCGGGTCAAGCGTGTTGCGGGTCAATAGGGTTGTAGGTCAACCGGGTTGCGGGTTGGGCGGGTTGCGGGTTTTTGACTTTTAGTCCAATCGGGTTGCCGGCGGGTCGCGGATCGGGTTGGTTGGGCGGGTTACTCGGTCGGGTCATGTTTTGACACCTATAACTGCATATAGACTTCTTCATTTAAGTCGCCATGAAAAAAGGCATTTGAGACATCCATCTGCTCCAATGTCCAATTTTTCATAAAAGCAATTGCCAGAAGAGTTTTCACTGAGTTTATTTTGGCCACTGGAGAGAAAGTGTCTAGGAAGTCAATTCCATAGACTTGTGTGTATCCCTTAGCCACCAATCTGGACTTGAATCTTTCAATAAATCCATCTGGCTTGAGTTTTATTTTATAAACCCAATTGTTCCCAATTACCTCTTTCCCTGTTGGTAATGGAATTATGTCCCAGGTTTGGTTTTCTTCCAATGAGCTCCATTCTTCTCTCATGGCTCTCCTCTAGTGTTCATGCTTAATTTCTTCTTGGTAGGTTAGAGGCTCTTCCTGTTGGATTATACTCAAATCATAAAGTTTGTCTTTAACATTGAGATGGTCAACATTTAGAGCCACTAGATATATGCTTGCAACTACTATAGTACGAGTGTATGCCTACCAAAAGCTCCAAATTGTAGTGTTGGATCCAATTCACAGTTATCATACTTGCTAGGCAAGTGATAAACTCCTCTTAGGTCATGTAGATGGTTCAAAGTCTTGCTGAGGCTCCAGTTCTGGCTCAAGTTCAGCCACTTCTTGTTCTTCATGATCTACCAATTCATCCCCCTATTCAACCGTGGCCAATTTAGGAGATGGTGGAGGCTGAGGGTGTGAAGTAGACGAACTAGGAATGACCAGAGCAGGAGGAGGATTGGAATCACCAGATGGATCAGGATGGATCATGATGGATAGGATCAGGAGGTAAATTGTACCCTTTGATCCCAGAAGGTATTCCCAATAAAACACACTGTCTGAATCTATGGGTAAATTTGGTTCTGCCAGTTGCAGGAGTACCAGCATAAACCAAGCTACCAAAACCCCTCAGATTTCCAAGGAAAGTAGGTTTATGGTACAAAACTTCATAGGGAGATGGATTGTTGAGAACTGGTGTAGGCATTCTATTTATAAGATAGACAGAATGCAGTATGCAATCAATCTAGTACTTTAATGGAATGCCAGATTGGAACTTGAGGGACCTAGTAACATTGAAAATGCGTTGGTGTTTTTGTTCTACTCTATCATTATGTTCAGGAGTGTATACACAGAACATCTGTTGCTCAATGCCCTCGCTCATGAAAAACTCACACATATAAAATTCTTTCCCCTGATCACTTCTAACAGTTTGAATCGTACTGTTGAATTAGTTTTTAACAAGAAAGTAAAAGCCCTTAAAGAGATCACTGGTTTCACTCTTATGGTGCATCCGATAAACCTAAACATCCCTTCAACAATCATCCACAATGGTAAGAAAGTAATTGTATCCATCATCAGAATTGACTGACAAAGGACCCCAAATATCAACATGAACAAGCCGAAAAGGCTTGACTACATTAGTAGTGCAAATAGGAAAGCGTAGTATTTTGTGTGTGGAGAAATGACATGGTACAATGATCTACTATGGAACTGGTTACTAGAGGATCAATGTGCTGTAACAAACTAAGTCTATCATTGCCGGGGTGTCCTAATCTCTAGTGCCACAAATCTACTTATTGAGTATTGATGTTGAAAACACTAGCTGCTTGACTTTGGTGGTGGGTTGGTGGGCTGATTTGAGAAGGTAAGTTGGTAGAGTCCCTTAATTTTTCTTGCTAAACCAATCGTCCTCTTGTTTAGAAGGCGTTGAATTTGGCAAATATCAGAATGGAAGTGTAAGGAGAGAGGAAAATTATGTGTAAGTCTGCTGACTGAAATTAAACTAGATTGAAGGAAAAGCTAGGCCCTAGGAGCACATTGTAAAGGAAAAGACCAAATGGTAGCTTGATAGTACCTATGTGACTCACTAGGACTTTAGAAGAGTTTGGTAAATAAACCAAGATGTCATGTACCTTCCTATAATCAATAAACAGATCTATGGAGCAAGCTACAGGTCAGAAGCTCTTGTATCTAGTATCCATAAAGTATCAGGTTTGAGACCACTACATTGAATAGTTGATGATAAAACATATTTACCTAAGTAGTTTGGGAATGGGGGTAGGTACTGAGAAACATAATAGGCTTGGTGTTGGATGGAAGGTGAGGTTGGGGGTGATGGTGAGGTATTGGCAGTGTTAGATGGTGGACCTGTGTTGCTAGAACCATAATGCAACAAGTATATCAACTTATTCATTTCTTCTGGGGTGAATCCAGAAGGAGGATGACTTACCACACTGCCTTCACTATGATAGTTTACTTCAGATGGAGATTAACTGCCACTAGAGTTGCTTTGTGACACTAAACCAACAAATTTATGAAGTCCAGGTTGTACACCACTTGCCTGCTCTTGCTCCTTAACCTTTCTCTTGTAAGTCCAACACTCTTCAATAGAATCAATGGCCTTTTCAACTTTAGATTGTACTGCAAGAGCTACTGTCTGTGACCTTTTCCCACTTCCTGATGTGTTAGCCTTCAGCTCTTGCTCATACCGCAATAGGTCATCCACTACATCAGCTACTGTGGGCAATGGCTTCGACATCAGAAATTGCTTCTTTACTCCTTCAAACTCTGGGTTCAGACCCCCGAAGGAATCTGATCAAATAATCAGTCTCCTGTTTCTGATTATATGCAACTACTGCAGTACAAGGGGTTGGGTTTCCTGGAACGCAATTACATTCAACAATAGGATTGTACTCTGAATACTCATTCCATAAACCCTTGATTAAAGTGTAGTACTGAGTTATAGTCATAGATCCCGGTTTGCATCGATGAAATTCACCCTCCAGATTTGTCAATCTATTGGCATTTAGTTGACCAAACCTTCGGTGAAGTTCATCACACAATTTTTTGGCATTCTCATGACTCATAACAGATCTCTTGATGTCTTTCTGTAGTGTGTTAAGAATCCAAGTAACTACAACTATATTGCAACTATCCCACAAAAGATAGCTTGCATCGTTTCTGGCAGGAATCGCCATAGATCCATCAATGAAGCACAACTTATCCTTCTTTTTCAGCGCCTTCTTCATGGATCTACTCCATATGGAGTAATTGGTCTCATCTAGTGACTCAGACACAATGGGTCGTGTGCAATTCTCATTTGGGTTAAGATAGAGTGTGTTACCAAAGACGATGATGCCATTGTTGTCGCTCTGGTCACTTCCAGCTGACCCAAATGTAGAATTCGTGTTGTTGGAGACGCCACTGGCATGCCGAGTTTTGTCTGTCGACTTTGACTCGGTTTGTCCGAACATCCGCTGCGGAATCAGCCCTAGGAAGGCCTCACTAATACCATGACAATTTTGTTATTAGGGTTGAGTAATGGCCGGAAATCACAGAGTCAGTAGTGAGCTGCTCAGTTCTTTTATATAAGCTAGTAATCCAGGATTACAGATTGTTGCCACATGTCACATTAGCACTGGCTGTGTTTAAACACTAAACAGTGATTTAACGACTAAACTTTATCATAAGTAAAACGGTGTCGCAACACCTTAATAGATAAACAATCTAAAACGACTTCATTCCTTCCCTTCTTCAATTTAGATTTCTTCTCTTCTTCTTCTTCTTCAATTCATAACTCTGTCAGTAACCAAAGGAGAAGAAGTTGCAGCGTGCTGCAATTGCATCCCGTGGAGTGAAAAATAAAAATAAATAAATAAATAAATAATTGTATGACTAAGCATTCTTTTTCCACGTCAGAGTCAACTTGTCTAGAATAGCGAGAGGCGGCACGAGCGACCAGCAAATTCAGATTAAAGGTGAAAAATTGAAGATATTTTTATTTTTTCTTGTTTTATCAATCGGCTCATATCTTCTTCGTTTTAACTCTGATTTCAATTTTTTTCACAGATGGAACGAGTACATTGTGCTCTACAAAATGAGATTCATTTTCAAATTTTTTTCCGTGCATACCATATGATATCTTCTTCGTTTTTAATTCATTTTTTAAAATGTTTCCACAGAAGGAACGAGTGCATCATGAGCTATTGGATCTACAAATTTCTAGGTGAACAAAATACAACACCCAAAAATACTACACAATACCACCCTGATACGGTGTGGTATCTTGTGATACACAATGTTAAAAGTCGTAAATGACAGTTAATATACTTCTAATATCATGTATTCAACCATCATACAGTCTTGGTTGAAAAATGACTCTTTTTTTTTCAAAAGATATATCAAAGTGGATATCATTTTGAAGAGCACAATTAATATGATCTAACCGTGCAAAAAAAAAAATCGACTTAAAATGAGTGAGAAATCGTCCATTAAAGATTAAGGGGGGAAAATTAAAGGCTTTTCAGGAGAGAGAAGGGGCGCTGATGTGGCTGATTCTTATTGGGTTATGCATAGTTATTGACCACAAGTTTATTGATTGGATCCGCTCTCTTCTTTTTGTGTTGAACTGAGCTGGGTGTAGGAAATGGTGATAATGATGCGGGCATATTGGGAAAAAATTAATTATTTAATTGGCCAAGTGGGAACCGGTTGGTCGGTTCAAGTGATCGGAGCGGATAACCGCTAATTAGGGGTGACAATGGTTTGGTTGGTTGGATTCTGGTATAAAACTGACTCACTCGCTTATTAACGGGTTGGTACAATTGTGACCCACAATCCACTCACATACTTCTTTAGGTGTGGTTGGGTGGGTGACGGATGGGTGCGGTTGAATTGAGGGTTAACCGCTAATTAGGGTTGGCAGTTCGGTTATTTTGTTTATAACCGGTAACTGATTGGTCGGTTATCGGTTAATCGAAATAAACATCCCCTTACCGAAAACCGACCGAAATAGGATTCGATCTCTCGGTTACCTCGGTTATCGGTTAACCAAACCACTTTTAAGACCAAAAACCATTTTGGCCAGCTTCCGATAATCGATCGAAGTTCGGTTACTTCGGTTACCGGTTAGTGAAGAACCGACCAGTTATCGGTTTAACCGGCCGGTTAACCGGTAACCGAACTGCCACCCCTACCACTAATGCAATTCTCTAACTAGTACAGAGCTAATATGATTAACATTTATCATAAATTTATTATAAATTAGTAAGACTGCATCAGTTTCGATACCTTCCTTTCTATAAGTGGGGAGGAAATGTAACACCCCGACCATCGGGTTCCGGTTCAACCCAAAACCAAAAGATATGCTCAAGTACGTAAAGCAACCCAATTCGTAGAAATGGCTACTTTGCCTTTCTTCTAACGCAAAAGCCAATCATGACGAGCTGAACAAGGGCCTTATGACGTTGTGACCGCAAGCAACTGATTGAGGGTTTAGATTTCTTGGAGTGAAAAGTTAAAGTTAACTCTCTATGAATCACCATGTATAAGAATTTAGATTCCAATCGACACTCAAGTTTCCCTGAATGCAACCCACCATACCACTCCATTAAAGGACGTGTTGGAGACAACAGTTTTAATTCACCATACCCAATCCTATCTCTCTGCAATACATTATCTCCTCACAAGTCAGAACTATTAGTTGTCAACCATGTGATAGCCTTTATTTCTCTTCTCTTACTCTCCAGAACCAGTACATAGACAATGATGCATATATATCCCACAATGTCCAAAATATCAATAGGAAGGAACTCCTACAGAGCAGAGGAGAAACAGAACACTAGAGCCACCACTCCGTCCTTTTATCATCATCTTAAACCATGTCTCTCCTTTCCTTCAAGCTTATACTCCCCCGAACTCCTCGTCGCTATATCATCATTGCCATCGCCGGAGAGGTACATCACCACCATCAACTACTTTCATCGTCGCTCACTTTCTCTACTTCTCTCAATCTAGGTAAGAACGACGAATCCCCAACTCAGTTCAAGCCTCAAGCTAGATAGTTACCTAAACAAGATTGTTCCTAGCTACGTCGTAGCTTTGACGACATAGATACGGGCTGATCGAACGGCAACCTAAGCAAGGAGCATAAGCTCTACTGACTTGAATCTCGGCCTGGGTACACCTACAAGGTAAGGAAGCCCGATCCCTCGCATTTAAATCGATGTTTATACGATTGGTACGGGTTCTAACTTTCTGGGAAATTAGCGACGGGCATCCAGGCTTTTAGTAACCTTTAAGCTGCCGTCGCGAAAGGCTGGCCAAGCAGAGGCTGTGGCCTCTCTGTTGGCACGGCTGACGATACCTTTGGTGACGGTTCTAGACGGTCACTAAACGAGCTGTAGCTTTTGCATATTAAGTCTCTAGCTGAATTATGTAATGTTATGCAATTGAGTTAATAGGCATGCATGGATTAGGATGTTAATAAGTTAGTAGTTGATAGAATGGTTTAGTTTGAGTTAATTAAGTATTTTATCCAATAATATAAAGACTATAATATGATAAGAGGTTTTTAAGCAACTTAATAGATTAAGATGATTTAAGTATTAGTTAGAAAATATTATTTTAATGGGTATGATATTGTGACAATTTAAACCAGACGATGATATGATATGATTAACAAGCTATTAATCTATGTTAGTTAATGGTTAAATCAACTAGTTTATTCATTAGAGTGATGTATGTTATAATATGCGCTTCTTGAATCCGACTAGGTAAGTGAGCTTAGCATGATTTTTTTTTCAAGTATTTAAATTGGCTAAGATCTTGAACTATTAGACTTATGGAGCAATATGATTTTAGCATTTTTAATTGGTACGTTAATTAGCCGTACTTTGCAATTAACGCAAAGTAGTCCCACCGATCAAGAACCGTCGCTAAGAACCCGAAACCCAATCGATCTAACCTCGACTTTCGTCATAGTTTCGCCATGGCATTTCACCCATGAAGAGCACCGATTTCTTGAGTTGGTGGCTAAATGATCAGGTCAGCCGACTTAAGCTAATAATGTGCGTGGTTTGAGGGGCTAGTTAGTATTTCGCTTTAATTTGTCTAATTATGTTATTTAATTAAGTTATGCTTTATATGTATGTCCACGGTAAGTGTATTTATGTTAGTAAGCATGTCATTGCATTCCATCATGAAGTTATGTTTTGAGCAATATTATGGACTTACGTTCCATGTTACCAAGTTATCAAGTAAGAACATATTTTGAACTACTCGCTTGACTACTGCACGCGACTACCCTACTTCCCGTCAGGTGGAAGTCAAGTTCAGGATTATGTTACTTCCCGCCAGGTGGAAGTTAACATTCATGTTATAATAGTGTACTTCCCGTCAGGTGGAAGTTACGCTCATGATTGTGTTACTTCCCGTCAGGTGGAAGTTACACCCATGTTATATCTTCCATTCAGGTGGAAGTTTACGTTTGGTGGCCGTTAGTGTGCTAGTTGAGTCGAGTTTGGGGCCCCCTTTCACAAGAATTAAGATGCAATTGATTTTAAGTATATGATCATGTACCAAGCCTTGCACTAGCATCTTTGTTTATTTATTTCAAGCATATGTTGTTATGAGTTTTCACCATTAAAGCGAAACTAGGATTAGGACTGACCCCAACGTCCGCATTCAGGAATCATAGAGGCACATAAGCACGCATATGGATTTGACGGTCATCAATGGCTCCAGAGGACTCCAGAAGCAAGAAGTTAAGTTCATCGTTTTAGTGGAACGAGAGACTTGATGTGATTTTACGATGAAAATTTATTAAGACAAAGATGTTCCAAACCATGTTGATTTTTATGTCTATTGTTTTCTTTAGTATGACGCTTCCGCTACCTTTCAATGTATTTTTAATGTTCATTGAATTATAAGGGTATTTTGGTAAAAGTAGCACCCTATCGGGTTAAGGTGTTACACTTATAACCCTAAACCATTAACAAAAAAAAAAAAAAAATGTTAGTAATGGTGTTAGTATCGGGAGCGAATCTCGTTAGGGACTTTTTGGTGCACTATCATGATAACCTGCCACATTAGCGCTACCTCATCATTTTCGGAAGGCTTAATATTTTCCCCTCCAAAATTTTAAGCAGTTATATCTCTTTCGTTTTCATTTGGAATTTTTTTTCATAGATAAATCAGATGAATTATATTCTTCCAAATGATATCCACTTTGATATATTTTTAGAATAATATTTTTGAGACATTTAGTACTAGTCTATACCATGAGGGCATTGTTTGCTATTACATAAGAGCATACCACGTGGTATGAAAGTGTATCATGGTGGTATGAACATACCACACTTTAGAATGATTGAATATATAGTAGTAGGAATATACTAACTGTCATTTCCCATTTTCAACATTGTTTACCACAAAGATACCACCCCTATACCAGAATGGTATGAGAGGGTATTTTGTGGACCTATATTTTTTCTCCAAAAATTTGTATATTCAATAGCTCATGATTAACTCGTTCCATCTATGCAAAAAATTTCAATATCAACTTAAAAACGAAGAAGATACCATATGGTATTGAAATGACAACTAGTGATATGAATTTTTTGTTTCACGAAATATATTGAAAATGAAATTCATTTTGTAAAGCACATTGAGCTCATTTCATTTGTGCAAAAAAAAAAAAAAACGAAATCTAAGTTAGAACGAAATTGATAAGAAGTGATTAAAAAATTAGGATATATAAAAAATTATAATTATCAACTCTTAGATCTGGGATCCACTTAAAATGAAGTACTCAAAGTTAGTTAGTAGTCTCCTATAAAAAATAAAATAAAAATTTAGGTAGTAGTCACCCTATTCACAACGATTAGCACCTTACCCAATCTGAATCGCTATTCGTCGCGCTAAAATTTTAATTTTATCGCCCTAAAATGTACCAAATTGACACTCTTACCCTCCAGTCCCATTTTAATCAAAACAAACAATCCCTTACCTTGCCCAGCCCGCCGAGCTCCTCTGTCCTGCGGGCGCTACTGTCATCGGATTCTTCTCTCGACAGCCGCCCAATTTCGCCCGATTGTTATCGGTTCTCTGCTTCTATTGTCGGACGATCCCAAGCAGCAGCGCAGCAAGAAGAAGACTATATATGAAGGACTAAATTCCAAAAATGACACAAATATAAGTAGGAACTTGTTTCTTCTTCTAATGATAGTGATGATTCTGAACTCGGCAATTATTGGAATAATTCTAGGTCGAAAAGTAATTAAGAATTTTTGGAATAATTGAAAGGAAGGGAGAATGGGTAAACGGAGGCGGAAGAAGGAGGCCGCCGTCCCTCATTCCTACTGCTGAGAATTCTTCTCTCCGGCTCACTGCCCACCTCAACCCGACCACCGCCGCTTCCCTACTGCTGCTGCCGGATTCTACTATTGGTACCAAGCTAGAGGAAGGACACGAAGGAGGAAGAAGGTTTTAGGGTTAGTTTTTTTCCTCTGTTTCCATACATGTTGAAACTCTGTCTCCGTCGAGCTTGGTACGGGTTCCTGATCTGTCTCAATGATAAGAAACAGAGAAGAGACTCAGTTGAAGGCAATAAGGAGGAAGAAGAAGACAAGGATATTTCCGTCATTTTAATAAAATTTAGAGCGACGAATAAGATGTTTTAGGGCGACTAATAGCAATGCCCCCAATCCTACCCAATTCCATACTTTATAGGGCGAGAGGTTAATTTAGTATTACAAATCCACCTCAAAACATTCCGAATTTAGCCAATATAATTTTGGGACGCGAATATCAATTTAGTTTTTTTTTTCCGGAGAAACTAAAACAGAAAGTCGCTGCTGTTACAGATACACCTAAATAGTACTTGGACCAAATAAATTAGTGAGTCAACTATGCCAAGTGGGGTTTCCTCTTATTAATAATTTAAACTCTTGAAGCTCCCGAGAAAAGAAATACATGGAAGTAAACGGATTATAATATGTGATGCCTACCTAATTATCAAGCAAAGAATTACTACCTTCAAAAAAGAAAAAAAAAATACATGGTTTGTGGTTCAAAATTTCTGTATCCGTATTGTATCAAACCATTTCATTTTTTTCCGGTTCATTTGATAGCTTTCGTACATAGAATGATGATATAAATAGTAGAAAGAATATACTAACCATTGTCTGTCATAATCTATCACCATCTACTAGGGATGTTCAAACGGTGCGATTACCATGGCAACAGTTTTAACCAGTACTATTTGGATAATTTGGTTTGGTTAATTTGGATAATTGCTTTGGTTTGGTTGAAGTTTTCAGCTTGTTTGGTTTAGGTGGTTTGGTTTGGTTTCAGACACTCTTATCCAGCCAAACCAAATTAACCAGATAAATAATTAGCCATATATCTAATATATACACATAGTTAATACTTTGAATAACCACTCAAGAGTTAAACGTTCATCCCTTTTAGACTCATAAAATATAAAGCTTGATATTGTTCCTATAATGTATATTTGTATATGTAGAGTTTAAATCACAACATATGAACGCCTAATTTAGATAAATCGGCAATGGGAAGCTGAGGAAGCCTATTGGCAACAAAAATCTAGAGTGCGGTGGCTTAAGAAGGGCGATAAGAACTCCTCTTACTTCCACACGGTGACCCAGGCGCGTCGGAAACATAACTTTGTTGAAGGGCTCCATAACGCGGACGGTGAGTGGGTTACAGAGGAAAAAGGAAAAGCGGACATCGCAATTGGTTTTTACCAACAGCTGTTTACCTCTGAGTCTCAGGTGCATAACATGGAAGCCCGAATTGCAGACCTCCCGATTGACTGTAAGGTCACTATGGAAATGAATAACTCTCTTACGGCAGAAATCTTTCCCGAGGAGGTCCGACGGACAGTGTTCTCCATGGGATCTAAACAAGCGCCTGGTTCAGACGGGTTTACTGTGAAATTTTTTAAAGCTTTCTGGGATATAGTGGGAGAGTCAGTGATTGCTGCGGTCATGCATTTCTTTAATACAAGCAGGTTGCTCCGCAGTTTCAATCATACGTGGCTCACGCTTATCTCGAAAGTAGATAATGTGGAAAACATGAAGCAACTGCGACTCATCAGCCTCTGCCAATTTGTGTACAAGATCATTACTAAAATTATGGCAGAGAGGCTGGCCCAAGTTTTACCACTGATTATCTCCGATGGACAAAATGCTTTTATCAGGGAGAGGCACATTGTGGATAATATTCTCATCGGCCATGAGTTGACAGAGTCGAATGGCCCTTCCTCCTTGCGATTTTGAGAAAATTAGGCTTTAGTTCTACATGGTGTGGAAGGGTTCATGAATGTCTCCGGTCCACCTTCTTCTCCGTTCTTATGAATGATACCCCCTCTGGGTTCTTTGCCCCGTCCCGTGGGCTAAGACAGGGGGACCATCTTTCCCCGTTACTCTTTGTGCTATGTACGGAAGGGTTTGCGGCTCTTCTACGTCAGGCTATTGCTTTGGGAAAGCTTGAAGGAGTGAAGGTGGCTCCTAGGGTGCCTGGGATTTCGCACTTGTTCTTTGCGGATGATTCATATTTGTTTCTTCGAGGGTATCTTCAAGAGTGTGAGAACTTGATCGAAGTGCTTAATACGTATGAGGAACTCAGTGGCCAAAGGGTTAACCTAGATAAATCAGCAGTCTGCTTTAGCAAGAATATCTCTCTGCCGGACCAGGGATTCCTTGCGGAGATCCTGGGGGTTGGAGAAGTAGGGGTCCAGGATAAATATCTGGGGTTGCCGACGTTGATTGCACGATCAAAAATGGCCACGTTCCGATTTTTGGAAGAGAAGCTTCTCAGCCGACTTCAAGGGTGGAAGCAGCGGACATTGTCTTGGGCAGCGAAGGAGACCTTGATTAAATCAGTCGCTCTAGCATTTCCCCTCCATGTGATGTCCTGCTTTAGGTTGCCCCTGTCCCTGTGTCGCCTCTTGGATTGGCATGTGGCCCGCTTTTGATGGGGGGTGGAAGGGGTTCGTTCACGAATTAGGTGGGTTTCCTGGCGTAGAATGTGTACGAGTAAGCATGATGGTGGTATGGGGTTCCGCAGGTTTGAGCACTTCAATAAGGCTTTGTTAGCCAAAATTGGATGGCAAATTTTGTCAGAACCTCAATCACTGCTTTCTCAAGTCTACAAAGGAAAGTATTTCCCGCATGGGAGTTTCCTCTCTGCTTCAGCCAGGTCTCATCCTTCTTGGGGTGGCAGAGCATCCTTTATGGCTGTCAATTGCTGACTCAAGGCCTGAGGTGGCAAATAGGGAATGGCCGGACGGCTTCTCTTGTCTCTGATAGTTGGGTTCCGCTCCTTCACCCTTCTGCCCCGACTTTTAATCCTTAGGTCCTCCCGGCCGGGGGAGATCTTAAGGTGGCTGCTGTAATCTGTCAAGGAGAGGGAAGGTGGAATGAGGATGAGCTCAGTCGCTGGTTTGATCCAGACACCTGTAAAGCTATAAAGCTATTCCTCTCCCCCGTGCGGATGTTGATGATAAGTTGATTTGGCAGGAGGCGATGGATGGATGTTTCACTGTCAAATCGGCTTACCACTTGGCAGTCTTGCTAGATAAAAGAGGTGGTGGTTGGAGGTCTAGCGCGTGTTGATTGGACAAGCCCAGTTGGATCCGTTTGTGGAACGCCGATATACAACCTAATCTTAAGGTGTTAATGTGGCAAATTTTCCTTCGCATCCTCCCAACGACTGAAGCCCTTCTTGAGAAGGATGTTAAGGTGCTGCCTGATGCCCAGTATGTTGGGCGGAGAAGGAGACGATGGAGCATTTATTTCTCGATTGCCCAATAGCTTGGGCACTCTGGGATCTATCCAGTCTGGAGCATCTGGGTCAGGGAGTGCCGCGCC